TTTTTTCGACAGACTTTCATGTTTCCAGCTCTTTCTTTTTTTAAAACCTTTTTTCCCTCGAGATTGATTTGATTATTGGGTTTTTCGAAACGAGTATAGTTACCTATATTTGTATTTATATATATATATATATATATATATATATATATATATATATATATATATATATATATATATATATATATATATATATTATTATTATTATTAGACTATATATATATATATATATATATATATATATATAGTCTAATAATACACGGAGAGAGACAGAGAAAGAGATGCTATGCCTGTTATGCTATATTTATGGGTAAAAGTGCTCAATATCAGAGTATGTATTTAAATATAAAAGTAGTCATTGAGGTAAACATCGAGCGCTGGCCCACTGTTTCATGCCTTAAAGCAATCTTCAGGCCGTAAGATTGAGTCGTTTGAGTATAAACCAGACTGTCGCCGCTTGTGGCATGGAACTGCGTCTAAGTGAATGTAAGAAACACGACTAAAATTCGAACTCGACTTACAGCCTATGAATTTCCCAAGCAGTAACCCATCTAGGTACTGACCAAGCAAAACGTTGCTTAACTCTCTTTTTGTTTATACGTTATTTTTATAAACGCAAATATTTAAGTAAATGCTCTGTTTGCAATAAGCATTATTAACAATATAAATGGTATAGCACATCGATTCCGTGTAGGATACAGGTTCGATTCCTGTCGGAGGACACAATTTTTTCTTTGAGATTTCTCGGACAGTCTGGCCGGTAAATGTTGTTAATACTGTTTATTATAAACAGAGCATTTACTTAAATATTTGTATCTATATAAATAACGCATAAACAAAAAATATATTAATCTATATATATATACATATAATATAATGTAATATAATATAAACAAACACTAACACAAACACACATGCACATAAGTGTTTGTGTGTGCGTAAAATTTCAAATATAACTAAAACATTTCTGTGGCATAACAATATGAATAGAGATAGGAGAATCAAATGAGGAAAGGCGTCGTCAAAGATAAGTAATACTTTTGCCTTTATTCATATGTATATATGTGTGGGGGGTGCGTGTGTGTATGTATGTTTGTCTGAGAATCGCAAAAGCGTGAAATCTAAGGTTATAAATATATATATATATTATAAATCAATTGATTTAAAATATGTTTTTTCCGCTACACAGTTCTAACCATGTAACTTTATTTTGGGTTTTAAAGACACAGCTAAAATCACGTTTCCATGGTTACAGAATATTCTACTTCAATTGGACAAGGGATGACTAGATTTTCCTTATGTCAGTATCATTGTATCAGTTATTAGCTACAATTTGGTAAGGGGTAGGGATGTATTTTTCAATGAAAACTGACATCCGTTGAATGGATGTCGTCTGGATTTTAAAAAAAAAATATTGTTAACGGTAAAAAGTTTTTTTAAAAGTTACTCCAAAATTCGCTTGAAGATGTAATGGAACTAATGCTTTTAATTTAATTGCAAAATTAAATTCGGGGTTTTTAGCTTCTATTTTTGAAACATGGTTAGAACTGTGTAACGGAAAAAACATATTTTAAATCAATTAATTTATAATATTAATGCTCTGTAAATTTACATTGAGCACTATTTTGTAAAAAATAAAATATCTATAAGAACACCGGATTTTATATCTTACTGTTCTTTCTTTTTTTTTATATATACATACATATATATATATATATATATATATATATATATATATATATATATATATATATATATATATATATATATATATATAAACGTTATCTGATTATGTCAGTTTTGCATTCATGGGCAAAATAATAATGTAGCGTATCTTGCCATTACCTTACAATCCTCCCAGAAGTTGCTGCTTTTTTTGTCACGGAGAATGATAGATGCATATTCTTGCATTATCAATTTTAAAATCAGTGCCCAGAAGTCCAGATATGAGAGGATAATACAAAGATGTGAGATTTTAATTTACTGAGCAATATTTCTCTGGAAAAAAATTACAGAATTTAGCACAATGCGTAGTGTGGACTCTGGGGAAAAAAAGGTTGAATTTTATGTGGACTATGCTACTGTCAACACGATCCTTTTGTGACCCATGTATACACCATTGTTCTTAACCAAAAAATAATTCATCAGTCATTCACTTTCTTAGTCACCATAATAACGCATTTAATTTAAATTAACTTGACAGATTACAATGTCAAGACACCGATCGGTGGACGTGATCTTCTGCAGGAATCTCGGGACAATCTTCTACACAAATCCAATCTGAAACGATAGACGTTTTTCGTTATTTTAAGCACGTAATTCCTGCCGGCAAACAAACGAATCCTGGGGTCTGTGATATCTTCCTGATTCTGTTTGCCTTCAATCGATTTATGATCAGAGCTCGAGTTTTATATCGCCCTCGACACAGGCTTCCATTTACAATTTGATGTCTTTTCAAACATGGTGACTTCAGATTTCAACATTTTGGGGATATAGTGGCGATATGTACACACCCGTTCTTCGTTGAAACATCCTTAAGAACGACAGGTAAAGCTTACATGTTTTGCTTACTTTTAATTATGTTAGGATCGTTACTTGAACAGGATATCGAACATTGTTGGATTAATTTTTTTTTCTCCGCAATGGCAGTAGATACTTTTGCCTATCATCCGGTTCACACTTCTCCTTGTTCTTTTGAACTGGAGAAGAGGTTTATCCCTTGTTTCTAGTTTAGGAGTTTGTCTCCGGTTCCTTCTAAAGCCTACCTCAAACTGTCTTCAATCATTTTAATAAAAATCAAGAGGCATCCAGTTGTAATTGGTTAAGATTAAAAGAGATAGCGAAAAGACAAACCATACTAAAATTTACAAAGGACAGTCAGTTGTGGAGCATCAGGAACACATGTTCAGAAAAGACACAACACGAAGAAGAAGAAGAAGAAGAAGAAGAAGAAGAAGAAGAAGAAGAAGAAGAAGAAGAAGATTAACAACTGCTTTTTCTTAAGTAGAACATTTGGTGATGGCTCCAGTCTACAAATTGGTATTCATGGTTGATATGAACACATGCAGCAGCAATAAAGTCGCCATGTTTCTTGTGGCCTACAGCAAAAATGCCCTCACTTGGAAAAGGAAAAACACTAGAATGTTTATTTTTTATTTTCTTTATGATTTCGGTCTCAACAAGTATTCTGCATTGATGATGCTCGTGGAGAGAGAAACGTTAGCAAGAAATAAAAACAAAAGCATCCAACTGATTTTCACCCATTTCATATAAAATGAATTTGGCTCCCTAGATAGAGATGATACCCTGCATATTTCTCTTGGTTTACTATTATCTACGTATCTCAGTCTTTTCTTTCTTTCTTTCTTTCTTTCTTTCTTTCTTTCTTTCTTTCTTTCTTTCTTTCTTTCTTTCTCGGACTATTTCTTTCTGTCAGTCGATCTAACTATATGTTCATACCTACCTATCTCTTTCTTTCTTTCTTTCTCTCTTTCTTTCTTTCTTTCTTTCTTTCTTTCTTTCTTTCTTTCTTTCTTTCTTTCTTTCTTTCTTTCTTTCCCTGCGTAGTACAGACTATTTCTTTCATTCTATCTATCTATCTATCTATCTATCTATCTATCTATCTCAGCCTATTTCTTTCCGTCGGTCGATTTAACTATATGTTCATATCTATCTATCTGTTTCTTTCCCTACGTAGCACAGACTATTTCTTTCATTCTATCTATCTATCTATCTATCTATCTATCTATCTATCTATCTATCTATCTATCTATCTATCACAGTCTATATTCTTTCTTTTTTTCTCTCTTTCTTTCTATCGATAGCATCAAAAGACTGTTTATATGTATCTAGATAACTGTTGCATCTCAGTCTAAGTCTCTCTTTATCTATTTTTATCGATTCATAACAATCACACTGCCTATAACTATCTATCTATAACTGTTCATATCTATCTATCTATCTATCTATCTATCTATCTATCTATCTATCTATCTATCTTTGTGTGGGTTGCAATATTTTTACTGGGGATCTCAATTCTGCGAGTTAGCTGAGTTGGTAAGTTTAGTTAAAGCAACCTAAGGAGATGTATAAAAAAAAAAAATTGAAAAAAAAAATGTCTGTTAAATGTTTATCAGCTTCAATCTCGCCTTTGCCGGCTACCAAGAAATATTTTTAAATGTTTCTGCTGCCGGCATACCATATTTGAAAGTGAGACAAATGTGGAATTTCTGCAGAGAAAAAAAAAATAAACAAATATATATATATATATATATATATATATATATATATATATATATATATATAATTTATAAATAAATAAAATAAAGAACAGCTGTTGTTTTTGTGTGTCTTCGTGGGTGCCCTCCTCTAGAGCCACCTCCACCTACTTCCATTGAAACCCCCAAATCTGGGGACCGCCTGTCAAAAAGATTCCATAACACATAACAACACTAACCCTTTTTGTAATTGCAGGAATAAGAGCAATTTCTCGTTGGATGAAAAGTGCATGATGCCGAGCGTGGTATTTAAGTAGATTTACTTTGGACATCTCCATAGGCTCTACTGAACGTAGGCAAGCATGGCTCTCCACAACTTCCTATCCATTGTAGATTTTAATAACCTTTGTCTTTCTGTTATATCTCCTAAGTCCTGTTCCACCATCAATTCTCTCTCTTATATTATACGTTGTTTTCATCTGTCTCTCTTGCTCTCAACCTGCCCTGTGAGTATCAAATTTTCCAAGCCCTCCTTCCTCTTTATTTTACCGAGAAACCTAAACTGTTTCTTCCTGATGTCAAGTATTAGTTTCCTTTTTGTTTCAATTTCCAGCAAAATTTCGTCATTGCTCACATGTTCGGCCCACGGTATCCTCATCTTCCTCTGTAGTACCATATTTCTGTTGCTTCAAGTTTCCTTTACATCTTTAAGGAGATTGCGCAGCACACATTGCCATACAGGAGGACAGATATCACGTCGAAGTTTAGTACTATTTTCTTTGTTTTCTATTTCTTAATACTCTGCTTAGTCTTTGGATGATTGCTTGACGGGTGAAGCGTTTAGACGAGATTTTACAACGGCTTTTTGAATAAAATGGCAAAATCAAAACAACTAAATATTGAGGTGAGGGCACAAAGTTAAAATGTATTCAAAGAAAGCTACTCTCAAATACAAATTGCCAAGAAGTTGAAGATTTCTAGACATGGAGTGGAATATTCATTCCAAAGGCAGTTTGAAACTGAGCCAAATGTTGACAGAAAATAAACTGGAACATCAAAAGTGACAACTTCTGTTGAAGATAAACACTTGATTATTGAGAACAAAAGAAATAGAAGGAAAACTACTCCAGAATTGAGAGCTGAATTTAATTCCCGTCGACAGCAACCCGTGTCGCTTTCAACTGAGAAATATCGACTTAGATCACCGGAGTTTAAATGTCGCATAGCTATCAAGAGACCACTGTTATGGAATTTGAATAAGCAGAATAGACTGTTATGGACCAAAAAGCATAAGAACTGAACATTGAAAGAATGGTAAAATGTATTGTGGACAGATAAATCCAAATTTAGAATTTTTAGTAATAAGAGGAGAGTGAATGGGAGAAGGAACCCAGGAGAAAGGCTGAATAATGAATATGTATTTCCAACAGTTAAGCATGGTGTGGGGTCTGTTATAGTGTGCGATGTTTTGTGGAAGAGAGAGCTGAAGACTTGATTCACGTCAAGAGAATCCTAAAAAAAAGAACAATATCATTCGATTTTGCAAAGACATGCTATACCATCTGACTTATGCATAACGGGAAAACAATTTACCTTTCAACAAGACTTTTTTCCTTTTTATGTGCCGTGTCCTTTCAGGACGTAGGCGATCATCTCTCTCCACTTCCCCTTATCCCATGTGGCTCTCAATAGGTTTCGTCGTTCTGCCACATCCGCCAGACCACGTTCTGTCATCCACTTGCTCAATGCCTGCCAGGTATGTCATGCGTTGCTTTCTCTTGTCTCTCTTTTCGTCTATTCGACCTGTGAGTATCAGGTTCTCCAAGCCCTCCTTTCTCATTACGTGTCACGGAAACTTCATCAGCCTCTTCCTGATGTTAAGTATAAGCCTTTTCCTTGTTTGCATCTTCTCCAAGCCCTCATCATTGCTCACACGCTCTGTCTATGATATCATCAGCATCCTTCTGTAGAAGCACATCTTCGTCACCTCGAGTCTCTTCTTCATCTTTGAGGAGACCATCCAACATTCGCTGCCGTAAAAGAGGACAGATATCACGTAACAGCTCAATACTCTTTTCTTTGTTACCAATGAAATCCCCCTGTATTTCAATACTCTGCCCAGCTTTTGGAATGCGTTCTTGGCCATTCCAATACGTCTACGGATAATATAACATTATTGTATTCAACAAGACAGCAATCCTAAACACTCTTCTAAATTATTTCAAACTTACCTTAAGTAAAAAAAAGGAACAAAATATTCGAAATTATTTCTCCTGAATTCTCTCACATTGAAATAATATCGGATGAATTGGAGAGGAGAATTCGCAGAGAATGCCCAAAGCGTGAGCTTTTTTGGTACTTGAACACTACTTGGAAAGGTCTGCCATATAATTTAAAAAAAATGTTAGAAACAATACAAAGAATTTGTAACGTAGTAATTATGGCAGGTACTGTAAGTTTTGATATGCCGATGGTCTAATGAATAAATGTAAATTTGGTTCTGCCGATGGTATAATGAATAACGGCACGAAATGAGAAATAGTAAAGCCGAGGTTGAATTTTAATTGAGTTCATTACATTCACATACGCAAAATATCCTTAGCAAAGGGTCTGAATTAATCTTTTCTCACCCTAGCTACTAGCAAATACCAGGAGAGACTGGGTTCTACAGCCTTGGTTGGGAACCAGTCTAGGAGAAAGAAAACTGAATCCAAAGCTGCCTAGAGACGGTTGGCAAAAGAAGGTTGGAAGTCCTATAAAAAATCCTGTGATTATATGACCATCTGACACGGTAGAAAGAGTGCGTATTTCAGGGGAAATGCAACTGACAACTTTAAACAATACATTTGTGCAGGTTCTTCAGTAAAAACTGAATTTGCTGGACCCTCTTCTGTCGTGTACATTTTATATATATATATATATATATATATATATATATATATATATATATATATATATATATATCACTATAAATTTATTTTAGTGGATACTTATATTTGAGTAGAAGCTCCGTTTATTTATTAATATTTATCTATTTTTGTCTACCAGCCTGAATATTCGAGAAAGCTTTTATTGGGGGGAAAATATGCGGAGAGCGCATATTTTTCGCTAATAATAATAATAATAATAATAATAATAATATATATATATATATATATATATATATATATATTGTAATATTTTATTTAAAAAATATTTTACATCGCAACACGGAAATTTCTGTTTCGGAACTTAAATCTGTTCCATTATCAAGCGATATTAGTTACAGATTTAAGTTCCGAAACATAGAATTTTCTGTGTCGCGATGTAAAATATCTTTTAAATAAAATCATAAATGAAGAGACATGGAGAAAAATGGGTAAACCCAGTTGACTGACGTCTGATAAATTTGCATATGGCGTCTCAGAAAAGAGATTTGATCTGTTTTAGGTGAATTCAACTGTAATGTTTCTTTTGTGCGGAAAAACAAAACAAAATGGCGGTCGTATTTCGATTAATGAATACTGCTAATTTTTTTTTTTTTTGGAACAGACTAGATTGCATTATTGATCTTTGGGACCTTTCAGTTAATACTTTTTGCAACAAAATAAATGTTGTTACGACCAGTAATAATACGATAAATGAAAAATAAAAGAATGAACTGAAAAAGAGTCTTCCAGAAGTTTTCACAAAAGGTCTAGGGACATGCATGAAAGCAAAATCTGAGTTTGATTTAAAAAAGAATGTAATAAAAACATTTAAGCCAAAAAGGAGTGTACCTTTTTCAGCCTTGGATGCAATTAATAATGAAATGAACAAACTAGAAAAAATAGGTGTGTTATTAAAAATAGATTATTCCGAATGGGCATCACCAACAGTCTACGTTAAAAAAAAAATAAAATAAAATAAAATACGCTGATTTTCAACTGATGTACTGATTTTTCCACTTTATGCTCTACGTATTATCGAGCACTTTTTAAAATATTTTAAAAAAATAATAAATGCTAAAAATCTGCGAATTGAGACACAACACACACACACACACACACACACACACACACACACACACACACACACACACACACATGTATATATATATGTGTGTGTTTGTGTTTGTGTGTGTGTGTGTGTGCGCGCGCAAGTGTGTGGGGTGTGTTTGTATTAAGTCTACCCTCCTACGCACTCATGAAAAACATTTTCTTTACTAAGGTTTCTGAAGTATTAATATATATATATATATATATATATATATATATATATATATATATATATATATATATCACTTATATAGTTATATATATATATATATATATATATATATATATATATATATATATATATATATATATAGGGAGAGAGAGAAAGACAGAGAGAGAGAGGGATGCTGTGTGTGTGTTTGTTTTAAGTCTACTGACCTTTTTACCCCATATATGTTTGTGTTGTGTGCTTACATTTTAGAAGTGTTTGATAAAGGCATATTGTATAGATATGCGTACGACTCTCTCTCTCTCTCTCTATGTATGTGTGTGTGTGCGCGCGTTTGTTGGTTACGAAGGGTCACTACTTTTTTATTTCTACTTGCCTTCCAAACCTTAATTACTTCACATTTTGTTCCCATTACAATCGTTTCGTTTTCTTTTGCTTCCCGCACCCCATTTGCTTCTGAAGAATTTGTCAACTCGAAAAAACAGAACAAGAAGCAAATTCTACACTCTTGTAAGTTGGAAAACGCCAACGATCTAGGTCGCAAATAGTACTTAATCAAATTAGTTAAACTTTTTAAAAATCTTTCATATTTATAAGCATTTAATTAAAAAAAAGACTTTAAAAATATCTTTGTTTTTATATTTATCTCC